GAATAGCATGCCTGCTGCCTTCATAAATAACTGCACATAGATATGAAACTATTTGGACTGAAAAATTTAGACTGAAAGCAGCATTTTGCAACACATCTGGGATTTTAGACACTTATGTTATGCTTAATTTATCCAGAAGTAAATGTAGAGTAATAAAGAAAACCGATACTAAGAACTGGGGAAGCTGGAGGATCAGACATCTGTTTTAGTGAGCTGCATTCTTATTGTTGAGCAAATTTGACGCGCTACTTCACTGACTGTAGTTTATTGAACAGTAGAATGATACTAGCATGGGAATTACTACTTAGAGGTGTATAAAGTGTTTAAATTGTACTCAATTAAAATGTATAACTGAAACTGAGCTACTTCACTGACTGTAGTTTTTTGAACAGTAGAATGATACTAGCATGGGAATTGGATATCGGCTGTTTCTGCTGAACATCTTAAGTGTCATAACTGTACTGTTTCATAAGTACAAGATGAATGAGATGAAACAAGATAAAACAAGATGAAAACTGGTTTGAAGTCTGCTATTGGGCTCCCATGCTGTCAGCAGGTGATTATTTTTTTAGTAGCAAGGTTATAGGGGCCAGTAGATATATCTGAAGTAATGACTTTATATTAAAAACTAAAATACCTACGATTTATACTGTTTGAACTTTTTGAATGCTACCCAGAACAAAGCAGACAAAGGGGGAATGTTTTGTCAGGTAAAGTAGGGCAACCACAGGGACTTGAATACCTGAAGAAACTGCAGATCAGCATTCTCAGTTGAGTAGGCTCAGCTATTTAGTTATTACCTGGAAATTTTTGTAGCAAGATAGTTTCACAAATAGGTACTAACATTAGTGCTTGAGCTAGACAATTTATAGAAGTGTTCTGCAATGCTGTAAAAGTTTTTACTTCTGAACACAAAAGAAAATGAAGATAGCAGATTGTGTTTTAAGTTGCTGTTGATCATAAGTTGAACTATTATGTGATATTTGACAGATAAGCCTTTATCAGAACAGCAGATTTTTTTTTTTGGCTTTCATTTGATATGCAGTCAGTGTATAAAATACTACCATTCTCTGCAGGGACTGCAGAAGTAAATTTTATTCATACAGCTTTCATTCTTTGGCTGGTGAAATATGCACTTAGTTGCTAATTCTCGTGAACACTGTACAAAAAAAAAACCAACCAAACAAACAACAAAAACACCTAGTCAAAATTAATGGCTTAGTGATTTTAAAATTTAATGTCATGAATGCATTTTAATTCAAAAGCCATAACTAATGCCAAATACTTTATTATAGCACTGTGTTCATGAAAAATTAAAATCCCTGCCTGAAGAAACTGTTGGCCAAGAAGGTTACAGTTCAGCTAATCTGTGGAAAAATGTACCACAAACTGGAATCTCTGAATTTCGTGTTCTGAGTTGCTCATTTGTTACTTGATTTTTTTTTTTTAAAGAGAGATGGTCATTTTGCTTTCATTTTCTGAACAGTTACATACTTCAATAGCAGTTGTGTAGTTTACCTCCTTTACTTTGCTTTTAGCCTAAGACTGTTAACAAAGTACAACAATTCTGAGGCAGTGATTGAACACAGATCACTTCAAGTGTGAAGTTAAGTGGAGCTCATGCACTCAACAAAAGATAAAAATTGTTTTCTTAATGGAGCTATGATCCAGTGGGTAGTGTCATATCCATTGCTCAGTTGCTACTGACTTGTCTATAGATCATTCTTCTCAGTGGTGATGCTATCATAGAGGGATAGTTTGAGAACAATGAGATTATTATCAAGCAAAATTCATTGGTAGGTTGTACACAGTGACAGGCCGTGCATCTAGACTGATTTACTGTGTTAATTTTTCTTTAAACAAAAATTTTACAATCTTTTAATAAGAATGCACATGCAAAGAACAATCTCAAATGTTTGAAACTTTATTGCAGAGACTAGTTCATGTGTAAAACTCAAAGATATAAGGTGGTACATAAAATCTGTAAGAAAAATATCTTGGTTTATGGTTTTTATTTGCATCTTTGTTTGCATCTGTAAATTCTTTTGCTCTAGTTTGTTTTACTTCAAATTCAGAAAAACAGGTTACTTGCTTACACGTGGATCCTGTGTGTGTGTGTATATATATATATATATATTTTATCACTGAAAACTGTTAGACGTAAATCTTTAGCTGCAGTTGCTTGAAGGTTGGGTTAAATGAGTTTGTAGATTATAAATGCTGGCCTAACTGTGTCAGTGCACCCAAATTTTAATGGTGGTTATGAAGGTTCAAGTTAATGTGAAATCTTATAAGAATCTGATGGGGACAGCCACTGTTGAATGAAAGGAAAAAACAAGTGTCTCATGAGGTTAAACCTTTAAACTCTCACATAACTGTCATAAACTTTTGTTTAATGACCGTTTTGATAAATCTTAAGCTTTTTTATATGCTTTGCCACTTGACCTGTTATTTAAGATCTGAACTGTATTATTAATATTTTTTTACAGAGTATAAACTGGAAGAGGGTGGATTTAGATGAGATATTAGGAAGAAATTCTTTCCTGTGAGGGTGGTGAGACACTGGCCCAGGTTGCCCAGAGGAGCTGTGGCTGCTCCTCCCCGGAATTGTTCAAGGCCAGGTTGGATGAGGCTTTGAGCAACCTGGTCTAGTGGAAGGTGTCCCTGCTACTGGCAGGGGGGTTGGAACTGGATGAGCTTTAATGTCCCTTCCAACCCAAACCACTCTATGATTCTATGATTAAAGATGATAAAAACAAAACCAAAAAAAATCCCCCAAACATAGAAAAGCTTCCTCAAGTGAGATTACTAAACTGAAATACATTTACAACAATTCATTGTGAAGTCTGTGTAGAATAAATTTATTTGTGTTCAGTGGATTAATGCCCTAAATACCTTCCCGATAATCTTGTTTTAGCTTTACCAAATTGAATGATGTACAAATTCACTCACTGATATAAAATCTCTCTTGATTTTGATTAATTTTCACTTTTTATCTTCTTGATTTTTCTGGCTTTGGTCAGTACCTGATGGCCTTTTCATTTAGCTGCCAAATATCAAGGCAGCTGGATGATCTTGTAAGTACAAAATTAAGTCAGTACAAAATTACAGCTAATTTCATGTTTTTATGCCTGTATTTATATTCACATTATTATTCCAGTGAGAAGAAATATGCATCCCTTGTGATGCATGCTGTAATTTTTTACATCATACTTTTGTAATGTATCGAAATTTAAGTGCAGTGCTCTCTATGTGTTGAAATTTTTTTCAGAATAAATTTGACATTTGGCCATACAGCATCAGACAATAATCAATATGGTAACTAAGCTACATAAGAAATTACGGATAAGGAGAACTCTACATTTAATAATTTGCCTCTTGGGAGGCTTATTTTTATGCTGATGCAGACTGAAGAAGGCTGTGTTCTCTAGCCATTCCCAAAAGCAAGAAATAGCATTTGAGAACTTCAGCAGAACAAAATCTGCTAAAAATCTGCTAAATGTGTTGAATATGTCAGGGATTTATCCGTTTGATAGGAGATAGTCTTGAAATGTCATGCAGGTATCATCAAAACATTCTCATCTTTCACACAGTCTGCAAATCAAAATGGTAATAAATTTGCCTTCACTAGCCCAGCAATTCTTTGTGCATCATATTGTGCAACGTATTTTTAATGTGTTTCTCTTATTATATTCTGGGATCGTGATTTATATTGTTATTTCTGGGATTAATGCCTTCAGATGTGTTATGTGTCACATCAGGGGAGGGGCGAGTATAAATATTTTCTAATTTTTATCTCCTTAAGTATACAATATCTCTTGCAACAGGAAATAATGTTCATTGCAGGTGGTAGTGTGTCTGGGAAGAGATGGAAAGATGGAAAAATAAATGGATCGTGGTCATTGCTTAGTAATGGGATTTCTGGGGCACAACAATACCAATGCATAATAAGTTGTCATTCCCACACTATCTCAGCCTGTACCAACCCGTATCTTACATCCTGTCCATTAGTTCTTTCACAGCATTTACTTCCAGTTGTT